GGAGTTTGGGAGGCCGAGGCAGAAGAATCACTTCAGTTCAGGAGAGATCAGTCTGAGCAACATAGTGAGACCTCATCTCTACAAAAAATAAAAAATTAGCCGAGCATGGTGTGCATGCCTGTAGTCCCAGCTACTCGGGAGGCTGAGGTGGGAGGACTGCTTGAGCCTGGTAGTTCGAGTTTGCAGGGAGCCACGATCCCACCGTTACACTCAACCTGGGAAACAGAGTGAGACTCTGTCTTGAAAAAATAAAGTAAAGTACACGTCCAATTAGTTTCATTTTCACATATGTGGAAAGAGGCTCTTTTGCATTATAAAGTGGCAGCATCAGGATTCAGGCTTAGCATAACCAACTTCAAACCCCTTCCCTTCTTCTTCAACAGTGCTTAGCATACTAATTTCCTGGGGTCTGAATTTTTAAAATGTCAATTTTTAAGCCCTATTTAAAACAACAAAAAACCTTGAATGTTTAAAGGTGAAATAAGCCCAAATTTTACTCACTAGAGGACACGAATGTGTTTAAAAGTGCAAACAAGTTTACTCACTTTTGTATAGAGCTTGGAATAAAGCTCTACCTTCCATATTTATGCTTAATTTCATGCTTTTAAATGTATCAATGATAGGAAAAGACACAGCTCTACAAGAAACTTAAAAAAACAAACTAACAACCACAGAGGCCTTCATATGTCCAATAACATAAAATCTTACAAACTACACACTATAGCAACATGCATTCAGAGCACTTGATCAAATGCCCCGAGGTACAGGCACATCTTTTCAGTACAGTGTCTCATCAAGACATAAAAGGAGATAGTCAGAGGAAGAGGTCATTCTTAGATACAATGTTCATTTAACATTCAGTTTTATTTTAAGTATTGTGTTTAATATAAGAAATACGTGCATTTTGTATTTGTGATTTAACGTTGAAAAGCAATTTTTACTATTCATTCAAGAGTATGAATCAGTTAAAAAGCATTCTAATATAGGAACATTAGCTTAAGAAAAATAAACTATCACTTGAAAATTAAGAGGAACAAAACTTGGTAACAAAAAATAGAAACAAAATAAAAAAACAAACTGTGCATTAGGATATGTTTACAGCAATTATCCATACTACCAGTTTCAATTTCCTACACTCACTAAAACTGCTTCATTCTTCTAATTAGTTTTACAAGAGTTAAAATTTGAATTTATAAAGCAAACTTATACCAATAAAATGCCATTGTTAATACAGACAGATTTAGCTTGAAGAATACTGTTATAGTTTGAAAAACACTTATAGATTTGGCTTGAAGAATACTGTTAAAGTTGGAAAAACACTATATTATGCAAATTAATAGTCACTAGCATATGATAAGGCCACAACTTAAAATACAGTAACTGTTATTTATATATTTTTTTATTTAGAGACCAGGTCTTGCTCCGTCACCCAGGCTGGAATGCAGTGGCACGATCACAGCTCACTGCAGCCTCACCTGTCCAGTAATCCTCCCACCTTATACTCCCAAGTAGCTGGGTCCACAGGTGCACACCACCATGCCCAACTAATTTTTGTATTTTTGGTAGAGTCGGGGTTTTGTCATGTTGCCTATGCTGGTCTCAAACTCCTGAGCTCAAGTGATCCACCCACCTTAGCCTCCCAAAGTGCCAAGATTACAGGCAATGAGCCACAGCGCCCAGCCCAAATATAATAACTTACGAAAAAGACCTTAATCATTATTTACTTGCTCTTTACAAACATTTAAGCAATGCCTCAAACTCTACACTTGTCAGTTACATTAACTACAAGAGCTGGAATCTAGTTTTTCTTACACTACCAGAGAGTGAGAGTGAGAGAATGTGTGTGTGTATTTTAAGAGGAAAAGTAGCCTGCTGAGAAAGAGAGAGAGGGGGGTACGGAGAGAGGGGGAGGGAGGGGGAGAGCGGGGGGGGGGAGAGAGAGAGAAAGAGAGAGAGAGAGAGAGCACGCATGTGTGTGTGTGTGTGTGTGTGTGTGTGTGTGTTTAAAAACAGAAAAAGTAGCTTTTATCCAGGTTATCTGTTTTTGGAATTTTCTTTTTTCTTTTCGAGACAGAGTTTCACTCTTGTTGCCCAGGCTGGAGTGCAATGGCGCAGTCTCGGCTCACTGCAACCTCTGCCTCCCAGGTTCAAGTGATTCTCCTGCCTCAGCCTCTCGAGTAGCTGGGATTACAGGCAAGTGCCACCAGGCCCAGCTAATTTTTGTATTTTTAGTAGAGACGAGGTTTCTCCATGTCGGTCAGGCTGGTCTCCAACTCCCGACCTCAGATGATCTGTCTGCCTTGGCCTCCCAAAGTGCTGGGATTACAGGCATAAGCCACCACACCCAGCCTATTTTTGGAATTTTCTAAAGCACAAAACACATAATGAAAATACAGCCTGAAATTTCCTTCCATATATATTCCTTGAGACTAATTACGAAGTCAAAGTGAGGAGTTTTTTTTGTTTCCAAAGCATCTTTTTTAGAGAGAAGTAGGTATAGATGGAGTTGCTAAAGATAAAGCACTGAGATGTATCTCTTTCAGATATGGGAACCAATATTTTCGCTATAAATTAGCCATCTGATGTCCAAAAATAAAGTATTATATCTAAAGTAAAACAATTTAAAATAAAACATTCTAAGTCAAATAGCTGATATAAAAGGAATTTCAGATGTTAAAACAACAAAGCCAAAGAAGCAAAAAAAAATTTAAAATTACATTGAAAATAACATATTTTAAGTATTTGTTTTTTTTCTTTTTTGAGACAAGGTCTCACTCTGTCATCCAGGCTGGTGTGCAGGGGCGTGATCTCGGCTCACGCAACCTCCACCTCCGGGGTTCAAGTGATTATCCCGCCTCAACCTCCTGAGTATCTGGGATTACAGGTGCCCACCACCACGTCTGGCTAATTTTTGTATTTTTAGTAGAGACAGGGTTTCACCATGTTGGACAGGCTGGTCTTGAACTCCTGACCTCAAGTGATCCACCTGCCTCGGTCTCCCAAAGTGCTGGAATTACATGTGTGAGCCACCATGCCTGGCCTATTTTAAGTATTTCTATGCCTTTGTCTATGAAAGTGGACTTGCCTGAACTATCGGTACTACAAGCCAGAAAAGCAGGTATTCTAGTTCTGGTTTTGCCTCTTAACTAGCTGTGAATTTGGGCAAATTCTCTAATTTCTCAAATCTCTTTTTCCATTGTAAACCAAGGACTAGTTTCCCTTGTAAACCAGGGACTAGTCAAAAAATAAAGAATTTCAGGTTTGAAGAGGCTTTCCAAATGACACCGTATAACTCTACTATGTTACAATTTAATGGAGGCATAGGCATGTTGGGAAACTTTCCTTAATTCACACAGGTAGTTACTGACAAAACTAAACCTAAAATCCAAGTCCAATACTTATGCAATAAAACAGCTGTAAGTTTAAATTTCTTTATCAATAGCATGATAAGTTTATAAGATCTTGTTGTCTGGCCCTTTTAGGTTCAGTAAATAGGCCGTGCACACTGCCAGGTTAAATATAAATCCAAGTGTTTCTCTATGCAATAATCGAGTTAGTTTTTATACAGAAATTGCATTAGTACGATTATGAACTTTTAGGTTCCACGGAGATGTTGAATGTGAAAAGACTCATATACTTCATTCTACACTTGTCAGATCTAACCTTTATTTAAAATAACTCTTGAAATTTCTATTGGTTTTTCAAGTAGATTTTTAGTGTTCAAAGACAAATCAATATTACATAATACATAGATAAAAAAATCAACGAGTACTTTCAAAATAGTAAGATGAAAACTTTCCTTAACCTACTAAAGCAACAAATGCAACTGACACTATTCTAAGAATGCAGGTAATATATTTTTATCTACATTAGTTACTAGACTTACAATGTAGATATTCTTACTTTGAGATGTATATCCACTTTTAAGAATGACTAAGCTTCTTTCCTAATAGGAAATACTTACAACTCATGTGGAATATATAATTAGGACTGTACAGAAAACAAAACGTAAGAAAATCAAATTTTGGTAGTGTTTCCTCCCTTTTCTTTTAGGTGCTATGATCAAAGGTATCTGATCACAATTTACATTTATATTTTTTAAGTTTTTAAATTAAAACAATTGTAAATATATTTATATAGCATTGAGCTAACCAGGTAAATTGCTTAAAATTCTCTAACAAAAGCAAAACAAAAACAAAATTACCCCTTGTATACCATAATTATTTAAAACCTCAAATGATAAATTAGGGAAGTATTCTGGTCTGCATTTTGAAGTCAGGTTATGAAAGCAATCTCTCAGATTGATCACTGTAGGTAATGTACTTTCATATTGGAACATAGTTGCTTCTCATTGCATCCCTTAAAGATAAAGTTATTATTTCAATTTTCAGGCTCGGAGAAATTATAATATCCATTCAAGGTTGTATGCTTTGTAAATTTAAGATTCAGAACACAAACCAAAATTCAATGGAGGGTAGATCATTAACAAAAGCATAACAACAATAAAGGAAATAGCATATTCCAGGGCAGCTACTATGTCCACTTAATGATATCACAGGTTTTTGCACTATAGTAGGGTATAAGATTGGAAAGATTCAGTAGAGTCAAATTTTACGGGTCCGAATGTAAATACTGGCTCAGAATGTTAGGTTTTATTCGGTAAGTAGTGAAAAGCACCTGGGAATTTTTTAAAAATGGGATGTGGTATGAGAAAGAATTAACCTGCAGCAAGGAGGAGGAAAAAAAAAATTACTGAGCATCCATTAGCATGGTTCAATGTAATTCATTAAATATTATAAACGGCCAGAAAGATGGGTGGCAAGACAAGTGCTGGGTCTTGATTTATAAGATAACTAAAAAACCTACAACTGTACCCTGAAAAAGCGTAATTTGGAGGGTAAAAATATGGTACAGTCAAAATTTATTATCTTACTATTAAGGCAAAACAACATTGATGATCTACACATCAGGGAGTATCCAATGTTTAAAAATAGCCTTACCTTAGATCAGGTGATTCGGCCCTCCCATATCGATCCTGCCACTTCCCAACGCTTGAATTGGCTTTTCTGGAGGCAGTACTTGTCTGAGACTGAGAAGAGGTGCTGTTTCTGGTGAGATAAATTTTCTATGTTTTTTCTTACATATTGTTGTCTCTGACCCCCCTTGTTCTGTTTTTTTTTTTTTTTTTCTTGACATGCTTTTTCTAAAGTCTTTTAGTATGTTCCTACAATATCATTCTCAAGTCATATAAACTACTTGCTGTGGTACTAAGTATTTAAATATAGATGTGCTATCAACACTTTATTAACTCTAGAATATTTTTAGAAATATTCTTCAACATAGTATGATGTCAATGCAGAAATGAGAAAAGAACTAAGGATTTACATCAGGTTACAATACATTATTTAAAAAAAACATTTCTGTGCCTCTATGAATTCTTAACATTAATTTTTGCAGTTTTACAAAATCTTATTCAAAATTTTGGTATTTCTTTCCCTATATTCTTCAACAATGAATATAAGTATTGTTAGTGCGACCAGTTAACAGCAACACTCTGACATGTTTCATAAAAACCTATACTACTTTTATAAAAAATTCATTTCAAAATAACTCTTTCAAAGTTCCCAAAAAAGTTAATTTTATCCCTGTTGACATACTTCATAAAAAGTTCAGATATGTGCACTACTGCCAGTACTTTACAGAACTAATAAGATGCTCTTTCAAAGCAAAAGGACAGATATACATGTTTATGCATCTGCTTGTTTATGTAAAAAGAAACAGGAAAAATAAACCAGAAACTAAATGAAATCTGTTCTGACAGGAATAAAAGAAACAGAGAAAGGTGTGACAAGTTTCTATATATCTTTGGATACTCTTGCCTTTGGAACTGTCAGATGTTTTAACGTATGCAAAAAATAAATCAGTGAATGTGGAAGGAAAAACAAATGCTAAAACTGCATATAAACAGATACAGTGAACCAAATTATATATTTTAAATTATTAATAAAACAACTCTGTAGGAAACTTCTGAACCCAATATTCGAACTATATACCCTTAGCTTAAAAAGAGACAAAGAAAAAACTGTAAACAAATCCTAAACTCTACTGAATAGGTTTTCTTATAACAGTAAAAGTTCTGAATCTGTTATATGTGTATTTCAAGATTCTGGGAGCCAGGTTCTTTGGGGGGGGGATGGGGGAAGGAGATGCAACATGGAATAGGGAAAGGGAAACAGGAATAAGAATCCTGTGATGTTCAAATGGAAGTAAAAGAAACATGATGGTTTCATGACTAAAATGTATTTTAAAAAACACACATGGCCATTTCATCTGGAAAATGCTAATTCTTTCCTAGCTCTGAGTGCTGAAAAGGCCTGGAAATAAGGGTGCCCTAGTATAATGGGCACAGCTAGCACCCTGAACTTGTTTTTTAATTACCATTCCCCACTAAAAGGAATCAGAGTGCCTTTGAAAATGGCTGCTTCTAAGGAAGAAACAGGGAAACTACAAGATAAGCCTGGAACATCCTGGTAATGCCAAACTATAAAAACAACCTTAAAAAAAAAAAACAAAAAAAAACCAGTGGAGACGTATCAAAAGGTCACGGAGCAACTTTGAAGAGGAACAATTTGAACATCAAAATGAATTTCAGTATATATAAATCATACATATGGTTTAAACACCATGTATACAAATAAGCTATATTTGTAAGCCACACATACATACTTTCTCACACATAAAATAAGAATTTATGAGTCTAAGTGATAAGTGGTGGAGTGGGAAAGCTCATTTTTAAAGTAGAATGCCAACTAATAAATGTTAAGAGAAATAAGAGTTACATAATCACTATTTTGCAGCCACTACAGTAATAACTGACTAAAGAAAATATTTTCACTGGAGCTAAAATCCCTAAAAAGTTTGAAGAGGAACAAGTTTAGTCTTTCCATAAATTACTTATTAAATACAAAGGAAAAAATAGTAACTTTGCAGTGCAGAAACCCAAGGGACACCACCACAACGAAGTCATTAGAATTATCATTACTAATAAAATAACATGACAAACTGACATCATGTATCTCCAAGCCAATACACTGAGAAGAGTACATCATCACTTACATAGTATTCCTGCCCAAAAAGCAAAACCTGAATCTAATCATGAGAAAATATCAGGCAAACCCAAGAACAATCTACTCAACAACTAGATTGTACTCTTCTAAAATTCAGTGTTAAGAAATACAAAGAAAAGCTAAGAAGCTGATCCAGATTTAAGAAAAACAAAATGATAAAATAGTTAAATTTAATGCGAGAAACTGGATTAAGTCCTAAATCCAGGAAGAAAGATTGCCGTAAAGCATATTGGGATAACTTGCAAAATTTATAACCTGCAATTAGATGAAAGTACTGATTCATTATTAGATTTTCTGCCTTTGATAACTGTGCCATATGATTATCTAACAGAATGTCCTGGTTCTCAGGAAATACATGCTTAAGTACTTAAGAGTAAAGGGGCATGATGCCTACAATTAACATTCAAATGGCTCAGTAAGAACAATGTTTCTGAGAAATTATGATGCAAATATGACAAAATGTTATTAACTGGAAAATCTGGATAACAGTATATGGAAGTTATTTGTACTTTTTTTGCAATTCTTTGTTAAGTTTAAATTTTTGTCAAAATAAAACTTTTTTTTAAATGACAACAACAAATGAAGGAGGCATAATGGGGACTTTTGGGGGTAATGAAAACGTATCAGTCTACATCCTGATTTACAAAAGTATGTTTAGTTTATAAAAATTTAACCAAGATGTACATTCCTGATATGCCACTTTTCTCCATGTATTTCACAAAAAGATGAAAACTTCTAAAGATTAAGCAAAGTATTCCGATATATTAAATATAAAATTTTACTTAATGCCAATTTGCTGGGTAGTACAAAAAGTTGGAAACCCAGCATTTCTATTGATAAAGCATGAAAAAATATTTTTAAAAGTTCTGTGCAAGCATATCAATACTCATCTATACACTAATAAGGCAATCTAAGATTTTCAACAATGGAAATACAGTGCTTAGGTCACTAGTACAGCTCGTTTGTCTTAAACATCTACTGTGCGTCCTGTATTATGTCTTAACGAATAACATTTACTGTTTTCTCCCTAAAGTCAATACAATTTTACTTTCAAAGATGTCTATCCAATCTCCATAAATATAATGAATAAAACAAAAACAAATATTGTTATGGGAAATATTTCACAATGACTGAAAAGTATCCTTTTTATCAAATGGAGTCCAGAAAACAAACTTCCCTAATGAGTTGTGGCTACTGGCCTTTATGTACAAAAGTGACAGTATGGACAACGTAGGTAACTTCTATAGGTAGCAGTGGTAATTATTCATTTTTGGTTTACTAGTGAAAGCCCTGCTAATTTTTCCATCCTTTCTTTACCTCCTTTCAGCTTTCCCTTACCTATATTTGCCCTCCATCTCTTCTTAGCCAATGGCCCATCATTATAGTAACTCTCTCAAGTAAACGCTCATGTACCTGTCTCCTTTATTCCTTTTTTATAATTGCCTGATACATCAACTTCTGTTAAATTCAACTCTAGCTAATCTGCATGAACACTCATATACCTGAAAAGAGTAACAGAAACATCCAAAAAGCAGCTGACTTGTCTCATTTTAAAGCCATGGCCATTAATCTCGAGAAAAGTTGAAAATATACAGCAGTCCCCCCCTTATTCTTGGGGGATATATTCTAAGACCCTCAGTGGAGGATATATCCTAAGACCTCCAGTGGATACCTGAAACTGAAGATGGTACTGAACTCAATATGTACAATGTTTTTTCTATAAATACATGCCTATAAAATTTAATTTATAATTAAACACAGTAAGAAATTAACAAGAATAATAAAAGAGAACAATTATATTAGGTGAGTGAAAAAGTAATTGCGGTTTTTGAACTGTTGGGATCTGCAGTTTGGTACTGGAATACATTCTTAAATAAGTGGTTATGTTACACATCATTTTAATGGGCATTTCTCGCTTTATTTATTTATTTTTCTGCTAATGACTTATTACTTGCTGTTTATTTTACATTTAGACTATGGAAATGATGTTAGACAAAAAGCAAATTCGAGTAACTTTCTTATTCAAGTTCAAAATGGGTCATAAAGCAGCGGAGACAACTCGCAACATCAACACACTTGGCCCAGGAATTGCTAATAAACATACAGTGCAGTGGTAGTTCCACAAGTTTTACAAAGGAGACGAGAACCTTGGCTGGCCATTGGAAGTTGACAACGACCAACTGAGAACAATCATCGAAGCTGATCCTCTTACAACTACACAAGAAGCTGTCGAAGAACTCAACAACCATTCTGTGGTCCTTTGGCATTTTAAGCAAATCAGAAAGGTGAAAAAGCTCAGTAAGTGGATGCCTCATAAGCTAACTGAAAATCAAAAAAATCATCCTCATGAAGTGTTGTCTTACTCTACGCAACAACGATGAACCATTTCTCTATCGGATTGTGATATGCAATGAAAAGTGGATTTTATACAATGACTGGAGATGACCAGTTCAGTGGCTAGACAGAGAAGCAGCTCCAAAGCACTTCCCAAAGCCAAACTTGCACCAGAAAAGAATCATGGTCACTGTTTGGTGGTCTGCTGACAGTCTAATCCACTACAGCTTTCTGAATACCGGCACAACCACTTCATCTAAGAAGTATGCTCAGCAAATCGATGAGATGCACCAAAAACTGCAATGCCTGCAGCTGGCATTGGTCAATAGAAAGAGCCCAATTCTCCTCCACAACAATGCCCAACCACATGTTGCACAACCAATGCTTCAAAAGTTGAATGAATTGGACAACAAAGTTTTGCCTCATCCACCATATTCATCTGACCTCCTGCCAACCAACTACCACTTCTTCAAGCATCTCAACAGCATCTTTTTGCAGGGAAAACGCTTCCACAATCAGTGGGATACAGAAAATGCTTTCCAAGTTTTGTCAAATCCCAAAGCACGGATTTTTACACTACAGGAATAAAGAAACTTATTTCTCATTGGCAAAAAATATGATTGCAATAGTTCCTATTTTGATTAATAAAGATGTGTTTGAGTCTAGTTATGATTTAAATTTCACGGTCCAAAACCGGAATTACTTTTGCACCAATCTAAAAACAATCTACTATAATAAAAGTTATATGAATGTGGTCTCTCTCAAAATATCTTATTGTAACATACTACAGGTAATTGAAACCAAGGAAAGCGAAACCCAGATAAGGAAGTAGTACTGTACAGTTTCTCTGTGTCACTCATTCCCATCAGCATATAAAAATACTGTAATTCTCTCATCTTGAAAAAAAGGCTTCTCTTGTCCCCACACTTCACTCCAGCTGCCCAGCTACTCCTTTCACCTAGTTTATTCACAGAGCTCCAAAAACCTATTTCAGACCTCTTTTCTTCTCACTCAATGCTACCTTCCAATGGTCTCTTATTTCCAACAGCCTCACTCTCACCAGATAAGTCTACATATTATTTTGCTGCGAAAAATGAAAGCAAACAGAAGAGAACTTTCAATTATTCCCACTCCATTATCCACCTACCCATCTGCACTGGTGCCCCGTATCCTGCCTTCCCTCCTGTTCTTACGAATGAATGGTCCATGCTTCTACTTAAGGGCAACTCCTCCACTTGCATATTACATCTCATTCCTTTGGCTTTATTAAATGACATTGCTCTACAACTTCTCTGTCTTACATCATCAATTTCTCCTGCAGTAACTCATTCCCATAAATACACAAAATGCTGTAAGTATTATTATTTTTTAGACAGTGTCTCACTCTGTCGCCAAGACTGGAGTGCAGTGGCGCGATCTTGGCTCACTGAAACCTCTACCTCCTCGGTTCAAGTGACTCTCCTGCCTCAGCCTCCTGAGTAGCCTGAACTACAGGTGTGCGTTGCAATTTTTGTATTTTTATATTTTTAGTAGAGATGGTGTTTCGCCACATTGGCCGGGCTGGTATCAAACTCCTGACCTCGACAGATCTGCCCATCTCGGCCTCCCAAAGTGCTCAGATTACAGGCATGAGCTACAGTGCCCAGCCAATATGCTGGTTTTTTTTGTTTTGAAAAAAAACTTCTCCTGATCCCACATTTCCCTCCAGATACTGTCCCATTTCTCTGGCCCCCAAAGAAAGAAAATAGTCTTCCAAAAAGTGCCCATATTTTCTTTCTAAATCTTTTCCTCCCACTCTTTCTTGAATCCATTACAAAGTCTTTTAACTTCATTTTATACAAACGAAAATGATCCTGGTTAGGATCACCAAAGACCATGAATAAAATCCAATGGTCATTCTTAGTCTTTATTTTCTTTACCAATCAATTGGATTTGATATTTGACAGCTGACATTTCTCCTTCTTGAAACACATTGTTTTCAAGACATACAGTGGGTTTTTTTCCTACTTCACTCATCATTCCTCCTTATTGGTGTCCTCTTACTAGTTAATGCTTATTTTCCTGACATACAAGGGAGTGCCCCAAGGCTGTCTCTTACCACTTCTCCATCAATACTTACCTCTTTATTCCATTTTGTAGTTTCATTTAAATAATATGTAAACACTGATTATCCTAAATTCATTATCTCCAAACCATACTCTTCCCTTCTACTCCAGATCCATACAGCCAACTTCCTACTCAAATTTCCCACTTGCATGTCCAATAGGCATCTCATTTTTATTATGTTCTACACTGAACTCTTGGTCTTCTTCCTCCAATAACCACTCCTCCTTATGGTCTTTTCCACCTCTGTAAATGACAAAACCATCATTCTGGTTCAGTTGATCAGAACAAAAACCTTGGATTCACCCTTAACTGCTTTTTCCTCTACAATCTACATCCAATCCATCAAGATAGGCTATGGGCTTACCTTCTGAAATATATCTGGTATCCGACTTCTCAGTATCTCCACACCATCATCTTGGTCTAAGTTACCATTACCTCTTGCCTAGATAATTGCTGCAACCTCCTAACTGGCCTTCCTGTTTTCACCCATCCTAAGTAACTCTATAGTCTGTTTTTAGTAAAGCGACTAAATCGAAACTTTAAAAATCTAAGTAAGATTTCATTGCTCTGCTCAAAATCTGCCAGTGAGTCCCCATTTACTTAATTTACAGGAAAAGCCAAAGCCTTTATAATGGCACACAGTCCTATGTAATCTGGCCCAAATTTTGAAAAGCCAATCAATAACAACAACAAGAAAAGGCAAAATACAGAAAAGTTACTGATTTTTAAATAGTTTAAGTATAATAGCAAACATCTAGAGTACTTTCTAGGTACCAGGCACTGTTCTAAAACACTACATAAATGAATCCGCTGAATGTATATAACTACACTGTGAGGGAAGTACTATTACTACATTTTACAGATTAAGAAATCAAGGCATAAGATGATCAGGGAATTTGCCCAATGACAGCACAGCTAGTAAGTTGCAGAGCCAGCATCTGAACTCCAGAAATCTGACACTCCAGAGACCAAGCTGTTACCAACACTCTATACTGCAGAACATCATAAACTCAATGAATGAAAATTTACCTCTTAAAAAATGTACAAGCCAAAAGAATACTACATATTAAAATATTACATATTACTACATATTAAAAGCTTAGCTATCATAAATTCTTTAACCAAACATTTTGAGATTATATTTAGTTTAAATAATCACATTTCATTATGTCTATGACAATTCACAAAAATCCTGGATTACTTTATAACATTTAATTTTGGCTGAAAGCTTCAAGAATCTTTATCTTAGAGCTAGACTAGATGCCACTGTAAGTTCTCTTCCTGCATTAGATTATTCTAAAATATCTCTCATAACAATACAAAACTGCAGAATAACAAAAACAGAAAACTATATAAAATAAATTTAAACAAGTAACACAAAAGGTAAGTGATCTGGCCGAGAACTAGTAATACTTGGGTTATTAATTTGTTTCAGGCCCAGACTTTAGTCAACTTATCTAGTGCAAGATTAAACTACTAACCTCAAACTTCGCCAGTCTTAGCCTACTATCCTTTACCTGTTTCCTGGTAATGGCATAATAGGGTAACCATTTGTCACATTTAAGTAAAAAAGACATTTTTTAGCATGTTTGCCTCTTACCTCTGATACCTTCTGGAACATACGAGGTATTATCATATCAAACCAAACCATAACAAAAAATGGTTCCAATTTTAAAGATCTTCCAAGCTGAAATTTCAATAGCCTCTTTCACTAAAATTAGCAAAAGACCTTCAGGCCAATAGATCTAGACTTAGAAGTCCAATAATCCTTTATGTAAGAATAGTGAGCACAGGAAACAGCGAATACTATTGTTACCACCTCTCTTGAATGTAAGATTGTTTCTTTATACATATACATAACTATATACCACACTTCACTTCTTGCTTACCTAGGCTTTTTAGATGGAAAAACATCAAGAAGTTTCTTGTGAAGAATTCATTTTGTACTAAAACAAAGTAGAATGTTCGTTTTTTGGTAGAACATTCAGAGCTTTTATACTTAATATAACACAAACACAATGTAAAGATACCAATGTTGTACAATAATTGAGTTACAACTACGTAACTAACCTGCTCGGTGGGAGACCAGTCTTGAATAAAGAGGGAGGAGAAGTAAACTCAGCTTTTGTAGATGGAAGGGCTGTTTCTTTCTCTGAATTTCCAGTTCTTCCCTGCTGTACCTTAAAAAAAAAGGTTATTAGCTTGTTTAATTTAATAGAAAACTCAAACATAATGGACTTTAGATGTTAAAATAAGTTTACAACATTTAATTTGAAGTTAAACATTAAGAATGTTTCTTTGCTGAATATTTATTAAAAATAGCCTATTTTAGAATGGTATTAGGTGAAAGGCACCAAACAGAGCGTGGGATCAAAATGTTCCAACTATCAAAAAGTTCACATTAATAACACTTAGAAGCAGAATAAACTGTAATTCTTTGGCACTTTCATAAATTCTCGCAGATCACCACAAATAGGTCCCAGATACTTAGTTATGACTTCATGTTTTGAATTCAAGAAAGGCCTTGAAGAATTTTCCCATTCTGTGTTCACCACCCTTATTCTAAGAAAACAACAGGTGACCATTTTACCCATTCCGACCATTTTCTATTCAGACTGTGATTTCCTGTAACACAAATGTGAATAATCTGCTACTGTACATCCATACAATTTCTCCCATCACCATTAAAAGTACCATCATCCTGCCAGTTCAGTAGGCTTAAAAGCTTGAAGTCAATCACTTGTCTTAATACCTCTCCTCACTCTGTTGCCCAGGCTGGAGCACAGTGGTGCAATCACGGCTCACTGAAGCATCTACCTCCCAGGTTAAAGTGATTCTCTTGCCTCAGCCTCCCAAGTAGCTGGGATTACAGGTGTACACCACGATGCTTGGCTAAGTTTTGTATTTTTAGTAGAGACAGGATTTCACCATGTTGGCCAGGCTGGTCTCAAACTCCTGTCCTCAAGTGATCTGCCCACCTCTGCCTCCCAAAGTGCTAGGATTATAGGTGTGAGCCATCACGCCCAGCCTTCTCCCTCTTAATACTAATTTCAAAACCAGTTATCTACTTACTCCATAATTTCTCCAAGATTTGCCTATCCTTTCTGCTCTTAGTAGAGACTTTGATTGTGGCCCAGTCACATTCCTCTAGACTGCTGAAATGACTTCTTTATGCTCTTCTGCTTTTATACTCATCTTTTTATCTTAAAATTACCATCAAACTATTCAATTTAAACAAACTAAATTCAAGTTTCCTTACACTTAAATAATATCACAGCATATTTTATGTTCTATTTAAATTCTATTTAAATTCCCTGCTCCACTTAAATTCAGCATCACTCTCCTTTCCCATGAGGCAAAGGCCAAGACAATCTTAAGACATTTTGACTGATATATCTGAACTACCAATTCAGTTCCAAAATCATCTACCTTCCAACTAATCATTGTGTGAGAAAAAGAAACTCTTTTACACTTAAGCCATTATAGTCAGATAGATCTCTTATTAATAGTGTCCAAACCAATCCCTAATTGATACCCTCACATAATGAGGATTTTACATTTAGTTTATTTGAAAATGAGTTCTACCATTTAAAAAAATTTTTTTTAAATGCCCTGATTCTAATGAGATGATGAGAATCAGCACTAAGGCAATGGGAACAGAAAGAAATGGACTTGACAGATACCTGACAGGTAAAACTGACAGGATCTGGTGAGAGAATGTAAACATTATTCATTCATCATTTATTGAATATCTATTATGTACCAGAAGCTGATAGAGAGAAACACAACAGGATCCTGGACCTTAGGAAAAAACAAACACACCAACAATCAGAGCAATATAATAAATATCATGACAAAAATCTAAGAGATAAAAGATGTTATAATAACACAAAAATAAATGCATTGTTCTGCCTGGGGATGTCAAGGAATATTCAGAGTTGACACTATTGTCCCAACTGCTCCCCTGAACACCAGTAATTTCTGTGTAACTTCTTTCACGTCTAACGGACATCTCAAAGTTACCATGGCCAAAACAAAACTACTAATTTCCCCTAATCTGATCCTCTACAAGTCTTCCCCATATAAATAAATAGCACCATCATCTACTGAGCTGCTTAAGGAAAAAAACCATAGAAATTATCTAATACATATCAACACCCAATGTCAACTTTACCTTTACAATATATATGCCAAATTCCAATCTGCGATCAGTAACCTTCCTAGAAAACACAGCTGGCAGTACTGTGAGGTTTGTCATTTGTAAAGAGAGTCACACAGATATTCCAGACTATTTACAGATTGTTTGGTTTACACCAAAAGCTATCGCTTCACTTTTGTGTGACAGAGAAATAAGATTTCAACAATTCCTTTTTGCATTTTTTATTTTTATTACGAGCCTTTTTATCAACAGATAGAGACTACCTAATTTGGGCATGAGAAGAACACAGCACAGACACACTGCCTTCAGTGAAGATGCATGCCACTCCATTCATGAGCACCCTTCCCCTGAGGGAGGATAAGAATAAAAACTGTGTTTGGACCACTTGGATTCAAGCTCTACCACACAGCTCACTCTCTGGTGATCACTGATCTCTCTAGCTAACTTTACTGATTCTACCAGAAGAAGAAGAATGAAGGAAAGTTACTCAACCACCCGAAAGAATCTCATTCTTGTTCCCATACAAAATTCTTGTTCCCATACAAAAAGGAATCCTTTCGAAGCACCTGGGATGATGCGTTAGTATCACAGGATTTTCTTCTTCCTGGTTTCTCTTCACAGGGGAAAAAAATATGAATTCAAAAGAATTCCAGTCTGAGGCACAATCACTTGCTTCCATAACAAAAATATCTCATCTTTTTCGGCACATAAATATTCTTTCATTGGTTAAAAAGAAAAATACCCTTTAATGTCTTAGAACTCTCTGGTGGTAAAAACTGCAGATTTCAAAATTTTCCTTTCATATTCCTATAATTCTCCGAAAGTATTAAGTCTGTGTATGCTTCAATAATTTAGTTTAAAAAATGTTCAATCTGAAATCAACTGCATTGACCATTTGGCTTTGCACGACAGGGAGAAAATAAATGGTTCACTGGTTATTTATACAGAGAGACTAAGAAAGAAGCTATTAATTGCCACGAATTTTATGACAGGCTTTAATGTTTATGAAAGCATGATTTTTTAATTTTATGAGCAATATCCATTTGAGGTTGTAAAAGAAAGCATACGATTCTAACTGTAGGCCGAGCATGGTGGCTCACGCCTGTAATCGCAGCACTCTGGGAGGCCGAGGTGGGCGGATCATGAGGTCAGGGGTTTGAGACCAGCCTGGCCAACATGGTGAAACTGTCTCTACTAAAACTAAAAAAATTAGCTGGGAGTGGTGGCAGGCACCTGTAATCCAGCTACTCGGGAGGCTGAGGCAGGAGAACTGCTTGAACCCGGGAGGCAGAGGTTGCAGTGAGTCAAGATCACGCCACTGCACTTTATCTAGCTTGGGTGACAGCAAGACTCTGTCTTGGGAAAAAAAAGATTCAAATTGTAGTTCATTTTGTCTCAACATAGAAACATTTGTTTTTGAATCTTTTCCTCACCATGTAATTCTAATTATAAGAAGCCGATGTTTTATTTCCTTTGAAGTTCTGTTATATCAATGATTATTTTGTATAGATAATTCCTTTAAAAGGCCTACTTAAAGTTAACATCTAAAATACAGTTATGGCAGGGTGCAGTGGCTCACACCTGTAATCCCAGCACTTCAGGAGGCCGAGGCAGGTGGATCACCTGAGGTCAGGAGTTCGAGACCAGCCTGGCCAACACGGTGAAACCCTGTCTCTACTAAAAATACAAAAACATCCAGATGTGGTGGTATACACCTGTAATCCCAGCTACTCGGGAGGCTGAGGCAGAAGAATCACTTGAACCCAGGAGGTGGAGGTTGCAGTGAGCCAAGATCGCACCATTGCACTCCAGCATGGGCAACAAGAGCAAAATTCTGTCTCAAGACAAAAAAAAAAATCATAAAATACAGTTATGCCAATGAAATCCTACTCAGGGTGATATCTATATCCACAAGATGAGTGCTCATTATTCTAATAGGATTTGTTGAGGTGCTTTTCAACCCTGTGATGCTGAGATATATAAGTAAGAAATCAAAAAAATTAATACAGATATACACATATACACACACACACACAAAATTCCATCACCTTATTATTATGTCTCATCCTAAAATTGTACCTGGCACGCAATAAGTACTCAATAAATATTTGTTACTTGACTGACTTTGGGAATCAACTTAAATGTCACTCCTTCAAACTCCATAGAACATGTAGTTTGTATCATCTTTAGCATGATTATTTAATTAATACCTAAATTTTCCCATTAAGCACAATAAATGTCCAGACTATAGGCTCCATGTCTATTATGGTGACCTCCCCTTCCCCACAAAGCCTAAGATACTTCCTGGCACAGTCAATGCTCAGTTAAAAACTGGGAAGGAGGAACCAGGAAGGACTGGAGAAGAGATGTGGAAAAGATATTAAAACAGAAAGAGAGAGGTGAGGTAAGAGAAGATATTAGGAAAATGGCACAGATTTTTAAACACACAAAAATTGCCTGTGTTTCCCAGCTTTTCTTTTTTCCTTAATTTCTTCATAATATCCTCATTCTATTAAACAACTCTGAAAATCCTCACTATTCTAGCAACCTTTCTAGTCAACTTGATTTTCCATTTATCTTCAGATGTTACACTCAAGATTACAGACTCAAAATTTGTCTAACCAGAACATAATGAGATGATTTCATATGACCTAATATCTTAAGAAATGACCATAAGACATTGTAACTAATTTTCTGAAAACAAATTTACGTCAGAACTGACAAATCCAAACAAAACTTAAGTCTACAACCTTGAGAAGCTAAATACTCACCCAAATTATGCTACCACTGTACTAAGTTTTAAATTATTTTTGAAATTTCCTTTGGCTGCCTATCATAGCTTCATTTATAAAAGTTTAACTTTACAAACAATATCTTAAAAAAAAAACCTTGTTAAGTAAACTAAGGTGTATCCAAATAACAAACTATGTAGCCATTTTAAATTATATTTATAAAAAAATTTTAAGAACTTATGAAAACATTACTACATGTTAAAAGTCAAAAAAAGGAAAAATAGACAACCATAAATGAATTATCATAATTTTGTTTCAACCCATAGGAAAAAAATTAAGAAGGCAACAAAATTTAGAACTTTGAAATTAGATTAAAAAATAGTAACTGACTGAGCAGACCAAAGAAAACTGAATCCTAAGTCAGCAATGAGAAAGCAAAGACAATGATTATCATGTCAGGACCCTCAAAAATTCAGAAATTAGAAGCTCCAGTTACCAGAACATTTGCATTAGCCAAGTATATACCCTCTAGATAGAATACTGGAATATTTTATCTGAAACAAATCTGATTATCACAAAAAGAAAAACACCTAAAACTACAGCAGGGAATGTGAAAAAACAGCCCTCCCGTGAAGCCTGCAGTCAAGCAAGTTCTATTCAGATGCACAGAGCTTCCAATCAATTTTAGCAGTCCACCCTTACATAAGTGTATGGCCAATAATCAACAAACATCTCAGAAAAGTCAAAGTCAGAAGCTGAAAGTACTAACTAAAACAATCAAGTTGAAAACAGACTATGCAGGAAAAGAAAATCTAACAGAAACAAAACAGCCTATCATTAATATCCTTTGAAAGAGGGGGGAAAAAGATATTGCATTACTGTAGGCATGAACAATAAGATGCCACAACTAAATAATAAAGAAAACTTTTCTTGGAAATTAACAGCAGAAATGAAAACTAAGTGGAAACATTTTAAGAATAAAAAATTCTCCCAGATAATGGAAAAGACGAAAAAGAGAAAAACAATAAAAAAAATTTAGAAGACCATTCGAAGATATCCAATATTTATCTAGAATAGAACAGAAAGCAGAGAAAAAAGTAAAAGAGAAACTGTTCCACAAGTGAAGCATAAGTGCTTCCAAATCGAGAAGGTATAACTGAGTGCTTGGTACAATGGATGAAAACAGATCAAGACACGTAACTGTAAAATTTCAGAAAACTGGTGACAAAGCTCATAGATTCACAGTCGGGGGCGGGCGGGGGGGAAGAGCTATGCATGTGTGCACAAATGAATAAAAAATATTTTAAGAAATCGTTGTAGTCAGTGTTTTCTCATGCATACATATTATCTATTCCCACTAGTCACTTCTCTCTTGCCCCTCACTCTAATTAAATTATTACACAATTGTTTTTGCACCCAAATGAGTTGCTTTATTTTTACACCTGTTAAATTTTTTCCTTTATTTTGCTTTTTAGTAAAACTTTAATCATATTGAAGTATATAAAAGGCTGTTACCTCAAGAATGTCAAAACACCGTTAAGTGTTGAAGCTGCATAAGCACCTAAGGGTTCATGTGTACTATTCTACTTGTTACTGGGTTTGAAAATTATTTAATGAAAAGTAAATAAAGTTATCTTAAAGAGGCTGATGGGTTGTCTCACACTTAAGGATGAAAAAATTCTATTTGCAGTAGATATGAAAATAAATTTTAATTCTTAAATCCACTCCTTTGCCCATTCACCCTCGTAAGTGAGTTCAGGCCCTAGTTCATTTCATTCCTATAGTATGGCAACATAACCCTATCTATTTCATATCCCTTTCATTCTACAGCCCATCCTGCTGCCAGTTCCTTTTCTAAAAACCAGATCTGCACTTTATTCTACTGCTCAGGAACTTTCAAACAGCTTCCTATTGGCCACACAAACGTCTGCAGGCTAGTTTAAAATCAATGTCCTGCTCATTATGGTCCTATTTCCAACATTTCTTACAGACCACAATATACAAAAAGAAAAAATGTTTGCCACACATAGTCTTAATACACACCCTCTTCCCAAATCAGTATTTCTACCAAACATATTAGTATTTAAACACACTATCAAGGTAAGAAAACCATGAAGACTGTACCCATCAAATTCAAATCTTTCATTCAGAATCCAATCAGAATGGAACACTCTGACCTCCTCTCACATAACCAAAAGAAACTTCAAAATAAATTTTTCAGTACACAGTATGTATATAAAATACACATTCATAATGGCTACCTTCAATGAGACTGACCCCTAGGAGTTTCTTTTTATTCTCTTTTTAAAAGTCTACTACAAAAAATAAAGTATACAGAAGCTAACAGTTTATGATGGCAGTTCTCGTTTCTATTAAAAAAAAAATAAAATGCACTGCTGCTAATGAACTAGTTCATTAAGACAACTTTTCTACCCATTGTAGTTAAGTTTAATATATTCAATGCCATTATAGACAATATAACCCAAAAAAACCTGATGACCCTTTAAAATACAACAGACATCACCACACACTTTCAAAATATTTGCAAAAGAAGAACCAAATATGCAAAGTAGAATGTAAATTAAAAATAAAATTATCTATATAGAACTGTGTACAGTAGAGTGGTTTATCTGCAGACACAGCACACACACTGCATAAGGCAGTATTCTGGTGGACAGGGCTGCAAACTCAAAAGGGGAGCAGAGGTCTCTTTCCAGTCCACTAAAGTTCCCTGAGTATATAACCCAATCTAAAAGCCACTCCCAATCTTCATCTCAGTGTCATTCAATACAAGAATCAACCATCAAGGTAAAGAAAAAAGAGTACACAACCAGTTTTCCATAAAAGAACTATGACAATATACTATTATTCTTTGGACTGGGTCTGTGATCATACCATGCAATGGAGAAGCCAGAAACCAGACTTGATGCACAAGTTGTAGTATCAACCTCAAAGTCTCTCACATAAACCTACTCCTTTCAAGTACCAATTTTTAAAATCAATGGTTTTATCTCATTCTGTTGAGTTCTTAAAGCCTCTCAGAGTATGTCTAAGATTTTTGAAGATATCTTGAGCTATCGGGGCATTACACCAATGATATCAGTGTTACCAGTATCACAGAGATAAACAGTATGCCACTTCCTTACCATTTTTTTTAAAGAAAACAAAAAAGTCTCCAATTCTGTTGATAAAGATTAGAGTATTATCTACAATGAGAGCTTAATCTGTTGCCACTAACTTTTCTATCCTACAAACACGTATTACAACTCAAAATGAAATCACAACATATAGCAAAGAACAGTTTTACTTGGCATTTGTTAGTATAATAGGCTATAAATTCACATGCTTGCAAAAGTGGAGATAAAACAACAATCAGCAAATTTGTAAGTCACCAGGAAGCTGAAGGTTTGGAAAAAAGGTAGCAATTTCCACTTTAATCTTGTCCCTTGAGTAGTGGTATGGGAGCAGACTCAAGAACAAAAAATGAGAGCAACCAAGGATAATTTACTAAAATTCACCTTAAAAAGATTGAATCTGCCATCTTGGATCTCTGCACCTGGTGTAACTTCCATAGTACAGTCTTCGGCCTAAGTTAAATAACATATTCCCCATTAAGATACCACATAATATTTAATTAATAGGCCATATAAAGACAAACTAGCTGTGGCTAGTCTGTGATTTGAAAGTAAGAACATCAGATAATCATTAATACAAAACTCTAAAAGGGAGGGAAGGGAAAAACAAACATGGTAAACAAAATGGAATTTTTAAACTATCGTATATCATTTAACCACTTTTATAGGGAAGTGATTTATTTGGGGAGTAAAAGTGGGACGGTAGACAAGCCAAGGGTATTCCGGAGTATTTCTTAATTACCGTAATTTTATTTGTAGTAGAAGTTACTGGTATAACTTCAAGTCCCATTCGTATCCTCTTTTGTTTTTCACAGTAAGCTTTCCAGGTATCTTCATTAAACCCATAATTAAAATAATCAGAAAGATCAGCACCTAAAGATAAAACACATCTTTAATGTACAAATATTTCAGCTCTATTTTTATGCAGCATCAAAAATATACTAAACTATAAAAATATAAATTTAGAGTTCTATCAGTTATCACTCTATCATTTATGGTGGCAAAAAGACTATAAAATTTTTGATCAAATTATTTCCTTTAGAAATGTCATTATAATAAACAATAAGTCTACATTTTAAGTAATACGAGGCCGCCAGTAAGATTTAATAATCCAAGTCACTATTACTCATCATTTGCTTAAGACAATTAAAATTATAATGAAAAAATAAAATTCTAAATTGATGCTCAAAAAATTTTCTGATGACTTCACACTAAAAATATTGAAATTAATATAATCCACAACAGTCTTACCAGGTTTACGCCATGGTTTATCTTCAAAAGAATCCAAATCTACCTCTAAGAGTGGAACTCCATTAATGCTTCCAGGTGCATCAAGGTCTACTCCTTTGACTTTTGTTCCTGTTTTACAAAATTACAAAATGAAGGAGCTACACTTGCAAGAAGCTGGGACATACCATAGACAAACAGAAAATAGAAACACCTTTTTACTATTCCTGGCACACATACACACACAAACAGAAAACAAACATTTTTTTACTATCCCTGGCAAAAAACCTGGCAAGCATTCCAAACAAAGCAGAGCCTAAAATATGTGCTACTGGACTATTTACAGAAAAAATTTACCAGTCCCTGTGATGTATGGCCAAAAATTACCTTTAAAAAGAGCTATTATATTATCACCTTGGCCAGGCGCAGCAGCGCACACTTGGAATCCCAACAGTCTGGGAGGCCAAGGCAGGCAGATCACTTAAGCTCAAAAGTTCGAAACCAGCCTGAACAACATGGCGAGACCCGGTCTCTACATAAAAACACAAAAATTGGCCAAGCATGGTGGTGCACGCCCACAGTCCCAGCTATTTGAGAAGGTGAAGTGGGAGGATGGTTTGAGCCTGGAAGATGGAGGGTGCAGTGAACTAAGATTGCGCCACTATACTCCAGTCTGGGTGACAAAGTCAGACTCTGTGTCCCACTGAAAAAAGAGTGATTAAGACCTATTTAAGATATGTGCCTTATTTCCCTACTGATGCAACAGAAAATACAAACTTTACCTGTAGTTCCATAAACTCTTCCTCCTGTCTTGATGTTAAGATTTACAGGTGCTGTACCATAACTCCTAAAAACAAACAAACAAAAAACCAAAAATTATCCTGAAAAGCTTAAACAAAGTAGTAATATTTCTACTTTTATTTTTCTATTTTTTATAATTTCTATTTTTATTTTTTAAATTTTGGATAGATGAGATCTCACACCATGTCGTCCAGGCTGGTCTCGAACTCCTGAGCTCAAGCAATCCTCCCGCCTTGGCTTCCCAAAATGCTGAGATTACAAGAGTGAGTCACCGTGCCCAGCTAACACACATTTTAAAAAAACATTTTAAACTAGTTTCTAAAGTCACTTGCTCAATAAAAGGCAAAAACATTAAAAAAAAAAAAAACTGACTTGTTTCCATTTCAAAAATCTCTTTGCCACTAACTCAACATTCTACTGTAACAAACTTCACAAGAAATAAGGCTAAGAAGGGAAACATAGTTTATACCCCTTTTCTTCATTTCCTTGCCTGCCAGTTATTACACATACAGCAATCTTAAGCATAAGTAAAATTCCTCCAACTTGTTGTTAAATCCAGTGGCCTTTCAGTTCTTCCCGCAGTTGATATTGTTAATAAATCCTTTTTCAACCATTCATGGAGTCCATAATAGAAATTTATTGTCATGAAATTCAAAAATAAGTCTAGCATGAAAGCAGAACACTGTTTACCGGTGGTGGGTGGTTAATGACCAAGAGGAAAAATGAGAGAAACTTCTAGGATGTCAATTATGTTTCGTATCTTGATCTGGTTGTAGTTACATGAATGCATATATTTGAAAAAAGTATTAAGCTGCGCCTTTTTAGATGTAATATAATACACAGTGATAAAGAAAAAAATTTCTGAAGTTGGACCAATCCACATTCAAATGTTTTGTCAGTTGTTAGTGTAATCTTGGCCAAGACATCTAAGACTCGTATGTAATTATTTGAATATTTCATTGCATTTATACTTGTATAAATGAGCCTCATATAAATTTTCTGTAAGGGGTTACAGATAGTTCTTTACCTTTTTTATATAATGGATTCTTATATATGCGTAGTATTATCAAATATACTAATTAAAATAGACTTTTCTGTTACTAGGGAAATTAGAAGAAAACAGGAATGGGCAAAGAAGGACCAACTCCCACTGAACAAAAAGATATCAGTAAGACAGCAGGTGATGGCTCACACCTGTAATCCCAGCACTTTGGGAGGCTGAGATGGGCAAATCACGAGGTCAGGAGATCGAGACCATCCTGGCTAATACAGTGAAAACCCCTCTCTACTAAAAAATAGAAAAAATTAGCCAGGCGTGGTGGCGGGCACCTGTAGTCCCAGCTACTCAGGAGGCTGAGGCAGGGCAATGGCATGAACCCGGGAGGCAGAGCTTGCAGTGAGCCGAGAACACGCTACTGCACTCCAGCCTGGGCCACAGAGCGAGACTCCGTCTCAAAAAAAAAGATACCAGTAAGACCTCAAGTCATAGGTATTTTCAATGATATATTTCTCACATTATATTCATGTGACATATTTGGTTCTTTTCTCTCAGAAGTTCAGCCATCTGGACTTTAGATTCACTGCTTTGGGTCTCATAATAATTACTTCCATCTTTTGTCTCTAATGTACTAAATATAAGACTTAGGTTGAGTTACATTTGCACTGTCATTTTTCTTTTCCACTTAAAAAAGAAAAATGTAAATGCAATAAAAAGTAATTGTATCAAATAATTGTAGCTTCACAGCTAGAAATGCAAGAATTACAAAGTGGACCAAATATTACTGTCAAGCAGTACTATCGTCACCAACTTGAAATAATCACTTTATAGACTGATTAATTCATGTAATGCTTACTGAGCACCAAAACCATGTCAGGTATGATTCTAGGCTAAGGAAAAAGTATGAGGAGCTGGACAAATTTGGTCCCTGCCTTCACGATGTTTACATTTTAACAATCCAAATTCAGCAAAAGTGACTTAGTGCTATCTACATATGATGTACATGATTTTTCTACAAATGTAGAAAAATCAAGGATTTTCTCTAAACTGTTCTCTTACAGGACTGCTATAGAATAAAATGGCATTTTTATAAAAGGCTTAGCCCTAAGTCTTCAACAGATGAGCTTCTTTGCTTTCCATCTAGCTACTTTCTATTCCCCATTCTGCCTTTTAAAACATCATTTTTCTTTTTCAAGCCACAAGCCTTTGTATTCATTCTGCGTAGAGAAGCTTAGTGGTATGAAAATTTGCAGAGGCAAATTTGATAAAATGTTCAATAGATCCCCATGAACTCTCAGACCACTCTAAATGCTAGATCCTATACTTGGATTTTCTATAGGAACTTCAAAATAAACATGTCAAATGAATCTATTTTGTGGGAGGTGGGAGGAGTAGCGCCCACCTGGACCCAATTAACTGCTCTAGAAATCTTTAAGTCCCTTTATCTCCTCCTCCATCCACAACCAACCAGTTACCCATGTTATTTGTTATTTCTTTCTTTTTATTCTTTGAGACAAGATCTTACTATATGGCCCAGGCTGCCCTGAAACTCCAAGGCTCAAGCGATCCTCCTACCTCAGCCTCCCAAGTCCATGGGACTACAGGTGTATACCACATGCCTGACTATATTTGTTTCTCAAATATTCAAATATACTATTTTCCCATTCATCTCTCTACTACTGCTGCCTTAGTCTAGATTATCACCTCACCTGGACAACTACTTCACATCTATTAGTCAATGTCTCTCCATCTAACCCATCTCAACTACTGATGCTACAATGGTTTCTACTCTATAGAAATCTAAAGTGTCTAAAGGTAATACCTTTTCAAATAATATAATCTATCTAAAAACCTAATTGGGGTGTCTGAGTGAGAGAATACAGTCATAGGTCCTCAGTTTCTGTTCTGGTTAGGCCAGTAAAGCCCCTTCATCAACCCTCTTTTCCACTTATCACTGGAGACAGAAACTAAAAACCACGGCTTTGGGCAGCTAAAAGCCTAAAACAAACCAAAACAGAACAGCAACAACAACAACATAATGTCGGCTGGCTGGACAACCTTGCAAGGTCTACAAAGACATAGCAAATGCATCCTAACTCCTTTCATAAGTGATTTCAACCATCTCTTTTCATCTACCTTATCCTCCAGCCATGTACTTCCTCCAAGCCATGCATCTACTACATTTATTTTTAAGCAGTGTCCTCCACCTAAAAACCACTGTCTCCCATCTCAAAAACTATTCAAATTCAAATGTCACCTCTGGGATCTTCTCTTCAATACCTGTAGGCTTTCAGCAACTCTCCTCTCAAACTTTTCTAATCACTTTGTACATGTTTCTATTGTAGCACTTATGTTGCACTGAAAATATTTACTCACATGTCTGTTTTCCTCACTACCTCTGGAAAATAATAACTTCCTGTATTCTCATCAATTAATACATTCACAAATAAAAAAATTGCTGCTTTCATGTAACTTTATCTAATTTGTTGACTCCAGGAAATTTCATGATGATTTTACCAAGAGTTCTTTTGTAGCACGGTAAATGTAAAAAAAATATAATAATGGAATGATCATAGATGGTTTAATAAAGGCACATTATCTTTGCTACTTAACACAGTGCCAAATAAATTATGCCTTTAAAAAGTATTTATTGAGTATATAAATGGATGAATCTCACAGAGATAGGTAACAAACTACTTTCCAAGATAAATTATTCCTACTTTAAGACTTGGTTTTCTTCATACCTTACACACATATAAAATGAACTTGTAACAAAGGTATGTTACCTAAAAAAACAACCTGTAACAATTTACAATAAATCAATTCAGTACTATTCCTTTAACACAGTTTGTTCTTTAAATTTGCTTCTGAAAACGCTGTGCATAAGTAAATGTTTATCAAATTTCATTTTCTCATGGACTTTGTTTTCAAGGGATATATCCTGAAATACAGAGGTTAAGCAACTTTACACTCTTCACAAATACTTGTACTTTACTTTGGAAATTCATAAAATGAATAAAAAATAAATCAACTGATAAATGGGTAAAGGCATAGATAGAGGGATATGAGTTCAAGCAAACAAAGCAAAATGCAGATTGTATAATCTAGGTGATAGGTAAATGAGCAGTCACAGGTCAATTCCTTCAACTTTTGTGAGTATTGGAAAATTTTCATAATCAAATGTCTAAGGGGAAAAAACCTTCAGAGACAACTGTAACTAAATAACATTCAGTTTATTTAGTCAATAACCATTTACGGCACACTTACTATATTTAAGGCAATATGAGGAAGAGAAAAATTCATAAATCAGTTTCCTGTTTTTTTGAAGAGTTCTGAATACAATGGTTTTTACTCTATAGAAATCTAAAGTGTCTAAAGGTAATAAATATGTATAAACATAATTACAATGCATAAAACTAAAAACTGCTGAAAGAAATAAAGTTTAGTAAGGTACTACGAAAGTCCACATATATTTAATATTTGAGTGCAATTTCTACCAAAAAAAGGTACCATTCACAATCCAAAAAAATTGTCATTTGCTTCAAATTGTTCTATAACTTGCAAGTACAAATAATTTTATATAATATTTAATGAACATGCAATTATTACAATTTTATATAAGTGTTTCTTTTGCATAATACAGACAGTAAAGGCCTATTATTAGCAGAAAGCCCTACTAGTACTACAGTATAAGCCCAACTTTCTCATTAAGTAATTATTTACTTTCCCAAGTGAGAATGAGGAGCACATTTAGAATATGCACCCCTAACATGAAAAACTAGCCTCTTTACTCTGTTCCCTAAAAAGGTACTAGGATTTTAAAATTACATGGGTACATGTATCATTACTATAATACAAAACTGACTATGACAATAACTGAACTGGCTTTAAGCTTCCTGAAATGACTTTTGAAAACAAATGACTCTACTAATAAAATATTTAACAATATTTTTGTATATACTAGTTGATTCCAGATGAGGTTGCTTAATGAACTACAGTGAAATTAATGTATTTTATGTTTCCAATGCATAAGCTATAACAACATTATACAGCCAATCTGAAAAACAAAACACATTAACTCTTATTCTCCTATTGTAACTAAATCACAATTCGTACTTCAATGCATTTCCCTTCCAATCTTTCTGTGAGATTCTTTATGTGCTCAATGCGTCAATGACAGTCCATTCACTTGGTCCAGTTTATAGAACACAAAATTTGAGACAAACATTGGCCTAAAAGGCCTACAGGAGAATTAAAAACCTGAAAACACTATTAACAACAAAAAGAAATACTTTTGATATTGTTTTTATTGGAAAAAAAAATTAAAAACCTCAACTCAGGTCTGGATAAGTAATAAAGCGAAACAATAAGCACAGATACAAATTACAATTTAAGGATTTCCAATTCTAAACAAAGAATTTATAGTATTTTTTTTTCCCTTGAGACAGAGTCTCACTGTTATCCAGGCTGGAGTGCAGTGGCTCGATCTGGGCTCACTACAACCTCCACCTACCAGGTTCAAGTGATTCTCCTGCCTTAGCCTCCGAGTAGCTGGCATTACAGGCACCCACCACCACGCCTGGCTAATTTTTGTATTTTTAGTAGAAATGAGGTTTCATCATGCTGGTCAGGCTGGTCTTGAACTCCTGACGTCAGGTGATTCACCCACCTCAGCCTCCCAAAGTCCTGGGATTACAGGCATGAACCTCCATGACTGGCCTAGTACTCAATTCTTTTATAAAAGCACTTTAAATTCAGGATCAAAAACTGCTGCTTCCATGTACCTTTGCCTAATCAGTTAACTTTATTTTAGGAAAGAAGTATCTTCATGATGAAACTTTAACAAGAGTTCTTTTATGTTAAAATAGAAAAACGTAAAAACAATGGAATCAACCACTGAACGATTAATATAGGCACACTCTCTTTGCTATATAGCGTTTACACAATTGTTACTTACTAAAAAATAACATACCCATACTGTGGTGCTCCCGTTTTAATGTCTCCTATAGTGACATGAACATCATCTTCATCATCATCGCTGTCACTATCACTATCATCTTCAGTCTCAGTCACTTTCTACATGAACATAAACAAATTATAACATACATTCAATAATCCATTTCAACATCTAATACTAATAACTAAAAAAAGTAACCACCCTGTTTTTTTTTCTTTCTTCTTTCTTGAGACAGAGTCTCACTTTGTCACCCAGGCTTGAGTGCAGTGGTGTGATCTCAGCTCACTGCAACCTCCGCCTCCCAGGTTCAAGCAATTCTCCCGCCTCAGCCTGTAGAGTAACTAGGATTACAGATGCCCACCACCATGCCCAACTAATTTTTGTATTTTTAGCAGAGACAGGGTTTCACCATGTTGGCCAGGCTGGCCTCGAACTCCTGACCTCAGGTGATCCACCCATCTTGGCCTCCCAAAGTGCTGGAATTACAGGTGTGAGCCACTGCGCCCGGCCCCACTCTGTATTTTTTTGAGATACAATTTAAAAGTTACAAGCTTATAATGCTGCCACCTATTTCAACTCATAATTTTGATGTTCTACAGAATAACAAGGATAAGACTATGAATAAAGAAATGAAATCTTTTTTGGCATCATCTCCTTTTGGTAAACAACACCTCATATATTTTTTTTTACTATTATATCTGCCCCTCTTGCAAAAAGGATCTAAAGCAACTTACTAAGATATCTACAAAATAAAACTATAAAAAATACATATTTGAGAATTCTTGGCAAAAAAAGAATCTAAGAGGAAAACAATTTTAAGATTCACAATGTCACAAATAAAAAGTACCAAATCAATTAAAGAATTTAAAAAAACCCAAAACATAAGAAGTACCAAACAGTTAAGTAGACGCTCAATTATTCTTGGTATTCTTGTATACCTAGAAGAGGCCCTACATGCAAATTCTACATTTGTGAAGATTTTACTTTGGCTCTTAAAGGCTATTTTGTGCTTAATCACATCATAGTAAATAAGTAGACGACATATGCAAAATACTTTTTGTACACAACTACAAACTTGCAGAACAGTAACTTCCTTCTTTTTATAGGATTAAAATGTACAAATATTCATAGGACCAGTGATACGTTCACCTCACAAAGTATCAAAGGCATGCAGGCATGCAGTCAGGGACTGTCACATACATTAAAAAGCACTGCTAAAAAATCACAACATTCAAAGGCTGTGGGACTCAAAACTTGCTCTGAAAACCAGGCACACTATATTCAGTAGATTTATAACCATTCAGTTCCTTGAAAGCAATAAACATCAAGCCTTTGCACATACTATTTTCCTCTGACATCTTTCTACTATTTCTTTTCCTCCTTGCTAATTCCTATATATGTTTTTGATAGCACCAGATGCAGTAGGAGATATAAGAAAGGGTCACATAACACAGGATACTGAAGGTAATGTAAAATGTCAGCTTGTTTTCTATGTAAACTGTGAAGCTATTGATAAAGATTTGTATCGGGAAAGTAACTGGATTTCAAAGCCTTATGTTACCGGTTTTGGTACACCATTTTCGGCAGTTTCATCTTCAATTCCAGATGGAGGATTAGCACTACAAACAAAAAAAATAAGTATACACGTCAGGCATTACTCTTCCGAAGTGCAGATAGGTTATATTAGTATTTCTAAGCTACATCTAATAAAGTCCCTAAAATTATTGTCTCCGCTGGAGACAGTAATGGTAAAATCTGACGGTCGTATTCCCTGTTATTTCTAGTAACTTACATAAAACAAGTACTCAACATTGTAAGTAGAATGCAAATGCCAGGCTGGGCGCGGGAGCTCACACCTGTACTCCCAGCACTTTGGGAGGCTGAGGCGGGTGGATCATGAGGTCAGGAGTTCAAGACCAGCCTGGCCAAGATGATAAAACCCGCACCTCTACCAAAAACATAAAAAAAACATTAGCCAGGCATTGTGGTGGGCGCCTGTAAAACCAGCTACTCGGAGGGTGAGGCAGACAATGGCTTGAACCTGGGAGGTGGAGGTTGCTGTGATCATGCCACTGCACTCTAGCCTGGGCAAGAGTGAGAGGCTGTCTCAAAAAAAAAAAAAAAAGAACGCAATTAATGATTTATAATTTGATGGTGGGCTGAAATTCAAACTTTTTACACATTTTAAAACTATATGACAAACTTAATCAATTTTAATTATCCTAAATCTTTACTGAACATCCACTGTGTACCATGTACTACTACTATCACTACCCAGACCTACGTAATACAGTTTCCTCTTTTCCTTGGTGTTCAAGAACTCAGATTTGTGGTATAATCACATTAACTCTTTCAGTATTGTTAACATACACGCTTCTTCTTGGTTCTCTGTGTTATTAATCTTATTGAAGATACGTCTTTTACTGAATAAAAAATAAAATTTTAAGATTAAAAAAAAGTATCTTCATTCAAGGCTGTTCTCCAATTTGATATTAATAAGGAGCTAATTCTCATGAATGTTAAAAGTAATTACTTTAAGACCAGTTAATACTTGAACTTGTCTTTTCACAACAAAACTGGTATGCAACAATAAAACATTCACATTCCCATGAAACTCAAGCATATGGTCATTTACCAGCAAATAACACTTCCAGTACCATAGCGTAATTGGTTTCTTACATTTTTTAGTAATTAAAATTTCAACAGTGGGAATTAACCATCACCTCATTTCACAGATAAGAAAATTGAAGTACAAAGCAAGTAGCTGATTTGGCCCAACTTTCTAAATTATTTAGTAGCATTCTTAACAAAAATATCCAGATGTTGACACAGTTCAGAGCACTTTTCATTAGATTTCTGCTAATCTCTTCTAAACTGCACTTTCTGTCGGGTAGTTTCTATGTAAATCAATTTGATCTTCACAGTGGCATTTTATACCACAATCACCAAATAAAGCAAAATGAAAGATAAAAAGTCAAAAGCTAACTGTTAAATTTTCATTGTTCCACTGCTTGCTTCAAGAAAACAAATATGCAGCTGTAATTGTTCAGTACATTTACCTCCTGCTGAAATAAGCTTCTCGGTAGCCAGAAACAAGTCCCATTTGCTTTCTATGTCACAAAACAGTATCCTTTCTTTAGTCAAAACTTGGGTAGATATAACACAATTGGAGACTGTAATGCAATGTTTAAGAAAAACAGAGGCTTCAGCAATGAGCCTGTCAGTAGGAAACTGGGGCAAATTCTAACAGCAGGAACTTAGGTAGGGCAATGCAGTGATGTACCAAGCCAGATAGCAGTATGTTTGGCAGAGTTCCTTTCTTCAATAGGCCTACTCTTTTAGAAGTTTTAATTTTCTATCACCATGAGAATGTTAGAAACATGATAAAATTTTAAGCTTTTTCTAGAAAAATAACACTTTACAGTGAATTTGTTTTCTCCCCCATAGGATGAAATCAACTCAATGGCTCCCCAAATGAAGTTGTAGAAAGAAATATAAAGCTATGTTGACAGTGAGACTCAGGGAAAGTAGAAGGTTCCCTCCAATAAAATTCAGCAAGTTGCGTATTGCAGAATTAAAATTAAAGAACGTTTGATAAGAAAATAAGATTTTAAAATAACGTACCTCAAAATAATAAGAGCTATTTATGACAAACCCACAGCCAATATCATACTGAATGGGAAAAAACTGGAAAAATTCCCTTTGAAAACTGGCACAAGACAGGGATGCCCTCTCTCACCACTCCTATTCAACATAGTGTTGGAAGTTCTGGCTAGGGCAATCAGGCAAGAGAAAGAAATCAAGGGTATTCAGTTAGGAAAAGAAGAAGTCAAATTGTCCCTCTTTGCAGATGACATGATTGTATATTTAGAAAACCCCATTGTCTCAGCCCAAAATCTCCTTAAGCTGATAAGCAACTTCAGCAAAGTCTCAGGATACAAAATTAATGTGCAAAAATCACAAGCATTCTTATACACCAGTAACAGACAAACAGAGAGCCAAATCATGAATGAACTTCCATTCACAATTGCTTCAAAGAGAATAAAATACCAAGAATCCAACTTACAAGGGATGTAAAGGACCTCTTCAAGGAGAACTACAAACCACTGCTCAGTGAAATCAAAGAGGACACAAACAAATGGAAGAACATACCATGCTCATGGATAGGAAGAATCAATATCATGAAAATGGCCATACTGCCCAAGGTTATTTATAGATTTGATGCCATCCCCATCAAGCTACCAATGAGTTTCTTCACAGAATTGGAAAAAACTGCTTTAAAGTTCATATAGAACCAAAAAAGAGCCTGCATCTCCAAGACAATCCTAAGTCAAAAGAACAAAGCTGGAGGCATCACGCTACTTGACTTCAAACTATACTACAAGGCTACAGTAACCAAAACAGCATGGTACTGGTACCAAAACAGAGATATAGATCAATGGAACAGAACAGAGTCCTCAGAAATAATATCACACATCTACAGCCATCTGATCTTTGACAAACCTGACAAAAACAAGAAATGGGAAAAGGATTCCCTATTTAATAAATGGTGCTGGGAAAATTGGCTAGCCATAAGTAGAAAGCTGAAACTGGATCCTTTCCTTACTCCTTATACGAAAATTAATTCAAGATGGATTAGAGACTTAAATGTTAGACCTAATACCATAAAAATCCTAGAGGAAAACCTAGGTAGCACCATTCAGGACATAGGCATGGGCAAAGACTTCATGTCTAAAACACCAAAAGCAACGGCAGCAAAAGCCAAAATTGACAAATGGGATCTCATTAAACACAAGAGCTTCTGCACAGCAAAAGAAACTACCATCAGAGTGAACAGGCAACCTACAGAATGGGAGAACATTTTTGCAATCTACTCATCTGACAAAGGGCTAATATCCAGAACCTACAAAGAACTCAAACAAATTTACAAGAAGAAAACAAACAACCCCATCAAAAAGTGGGCAAAGGATATGAACAGACATTTCTCAAAAGAAGACATTCATACAGCCAACAGACACATGAAAAAATGCTCATCATCACTGGCCATCAGAGAAATGCAAATCAAAACCACAATGAGATACCATCTCACACCAGTTAGAATGGCGATCATTCAAAAGTCAGGAAACAACAGGTGCTGGAGAGGATGTGGAGAAATAGGAACACTTTTACACTGTTGGTGGGATTGTAAACTAGTTCAACCATTATGGAAAACAGTATGGCGATTCCTCAAGGATCTAGAACTAGATGTACCATATGACCCAGCCATCCCATTACTGGGTATATACCCAAAGGGTTATAAATCATGCTGCTATAAAGACACATGCATGCGTATGTTTATTGCAGCACTATTCACAATAGCAAAGACTTAGAATCAACCCAAATATCCATCAGTGACAGATTGGATTAAGAAAATGTGGCACATATACACCATGGAATACTATGCAGCCATAAAAAAGGATGAGTTTGTGTCCTTTGTAGGGACATGGATGCAGCTGGAAACCATCATTCTTAGCAAACTATCACAAGAACAGAAAACCAAACACCACATGTTCTCACTCATAGGTGGGAACTGAACAATGAGATCACTTGGACTCGGGAAGGGGGACATCACACACCGGGGCCTATCACGGGGAGGGGGGAGGGGGGAGGGATTGCATTGGGAGTTACACCTGATGTAAATGACGAGTTGATGGGTGCAGCACACCAACATGGCACAAGTATACATATGTAACAAACCTGCACGTTATGCACATGTACCCTAGAACTTAAAGTATAATAATAAATAAATAAATAAAATAAAAAATAAAAAAAAACAATGGGATAAAGATGATCATAGAGAGAAATATATTTGATTGTAAAACTATACCCTGTAATTAATTTCTTGACCAACTGAAGGAATGGATATAAAGAAATATTCAATCACATTCATAACATAAATTAAAACTAATCTCAACTTTGTGGTTGAGATCTGAATTAGGAAATGAGTTGAACACATAAATTTTAAAATGAAATAACATTTCAGATAATATATCAATGAGGGAAAAGACTATAGGGGATTTTTTGGGTAAGGAAGTTGAACTGTAGTTTCAGATCCTCCTAAGCTATTTCTACTTCCATTTCTCACTTTTTCCCTCTATTCATTTTTTGTTGTTAACAGCTTTGAGATGCAATTCACATATTACACAATCTATCCATTCAAACAGGACCACTGAGTTTTAATATGTTCACATAGTCCAACCATCACAACTATCTAATTCCAGAATATATGCATCACTCCCAAAAGGAACTCTGTATACATTAGCAATCACTCACCCAACTCTTAGCAACCAGTAATCTGTCTCTATGGACCGGCTTCCCTTGCATATTTGCAAGGTTCGTCCATATTGTAACATCTACCAGTACTTCATTTTATTTTCCCTGCCAAATAATATTCCACTGTATGGATATAACACACTTAATCTACCCATTCATCAGTTGATGCAGCTGCAAGGTTTTTTTTCCCATTTTCTATTAACAATGCTGCTATGAATATTCACGTACAAGTTTTTGTGTGAATGTTTTTCATTTCTCTAAGGTGGAGGGCTCATATGGTAACTCCATGTTTCACCATTTGAGAAAATGGTCAGGCTGTTCTTCAAAGCAGCTGCACCATTTTACAATCCCACCAAGTGTATGAGGGTTTTATTTCTCCATATCCTCATCAACACCTGTTTTATCTTTCTGATTGCAGCTTACTCGGTATGAAGTGGTATATCTTCCACTTTTTAAACCCAAATATTCTTTAAAATCTTCTACCTACCTCTCCATTACTGACACTAATGCAAGCGGTCAGGGTAAAGCCGACATCTCCATGTACTTCTTTGCATGGGTTGTTTTCTGAAATTCGGGGTAAAATTCTGACTCCCTGTATATGTTCTATAATCAAATACTTACATCTTTCTTATAATCTAACAAAGAAATCAATCTTATAACAAATCAGCTAATTACATTTTGAATGTAAATAATACGTAGCATTGAAATTACAACCAAAGTGCCATTATACCATCAAAAATGTTAATAAACTGGAAAAGCAGTAGTTTGGAGTGTTCCTGATTTACTTAAAAACATTTTCAATTAAGTTAAAATATTTTTATCGGTAGCTTAATGATTATACTGTATACTTCACTACTGAAGTCACTTAAGAGTAACAAGTTACTTAACAGTGTAAAATCAGTCCAATCCTAAGTTCAAAAACTTTGTCCTTTAAACTATCAACAAACAGAATTGGCATAAGATTAGGTCCTGAAACTGGAATAACCTTTAAAGGATTCGATGTCCTCCAAAATGTTGTAAGTGTTGTAATGACGCCAATGATTGTAAGAAAATAATTTTGACAACTGACAGAACCATTGTATCACACAATCTGTGTAATAGGCATCAACAGAAAATTTCACTAACCTGGCATTTTCTTCTTCTGGCCTTTCAACTTCATTTTCATCTACCAAGTAAAATAAACAAATAAATAAATAAGCAAACAAAATAAAGAAACCACTCTTAAAGAAACTAGTATTATGAAAATCTGAAGTGATCATCACAAGCACTAACCTAGGTCCTTTGTCAAATCACTGTGCACATGCACGTCCCATGGGCCTATAAGCACATCCAAAGTTAGATCACCTTATAATTACTTAACAAGATACGTATTTTATGGAAAAAAAAAATCAGACTTTACTGGTATAAAAATAAGCTTAAACTTAAGAGGTACTGAAGATTTCCAGATCTTTGTAAAAGAAATCCTACACATTCACATTTCAAAGACCAATGCTAAATCTTGCCACCAAAGATAATTTTTTTTTTTTTTACAAGTTTATCAAAGTTACATCATCAAGGACCTGCGTAGTGCCCAATGTGCACTTTTACTATTCTATTCTAAAGACAATCAAGAATGTATGTTTTAGGCAAGGAACAAACATTAAGTTTCAAATCTGGTGTAACAGGCAAGAAGGGATTGTGAATCAACGAAAGTTAAAAACCAGATGTCCCTTCTAGAGAGAAGTACATGATGCATTAAATTTATTTTGAGAAAAAGAAATATATGAGATGACACTGAAAACTATAAGCCGAAGGGTCATGAGATACCTCCATGATGTAGGTTAAACGGCAGTCTCTTAAAAAAGAAAAACTTCACCTTAATACAGGAGACATTCAGGGTTTTCTTTATGGGCCATCTTTCTCTCTCTCTCTCTTAATTAATTATTTTTAAAGCACGACTTTCAGACAAGGAGGTACCCTTGCAGGTGCATTCCATACAAACTGACCATCAAGAAACAAGACGTTAGTTGTACAGCATTAACTTTATTTCGCTATTATTACAGAATGACTGTTTCTGAAAGAAGGGACAGGAAGGGCACCCTAAGGCCACGGGGCAAAAACAGACACAAAAAACCACCACCTCAGAATCGACAGAAAAAAACAAGGGTAAAGAGCGCAGCAGCGAGGCGACCGAGACGCCCCAGGGAAAGCACGGCGAAGCCGGGGGCCGGGACCAGTCACAGCCCCCCAGCCCTGCCCGGCCGCCGCAGGGTGGGTGCGTATAGTGGGCTTGGGCCAGGCGGGAGACCGCCGCGGGAGCGGGGGGCACGCGCACGCTGCGCTCGGCCTAAGTCAGGCCGGACAGGACTCCCAACCAGAGGCCCGAAGGGGCGGCGCGAGGGGCCGGAACGCCGGCCGTTTGAGGGCCAAGAGGGGAGGCCTAAGAGAACCCGAGAAAGAGACAGGGACAGGAAGTTTCGTACCGCCATAGAGCCACTCTTCCTCCTCATCCCCTCCGGTCCCGCCGCTCAGCTCCGACACTAGGCGCTCGACCTCGCCGGCCGACATGGCCGCCCCGAGCGCAACTTAAACGCGGCGATCAACAGCCCCCTCCAACCCCTTCCCAGCCTCTCAGCCCCGGGGCGCGAGAAGGGCGCGAACCCGCCGGCGAGCGAACGAAGAAAGCTCGAGACTCAAATCCCACGAAGGCGGCAGCAGCGGTGGTAAAGATGAAGACTCCAGCGCGGATCCGCCTGCGCATGCGCACCAGACCCAAGCGGCGCGGCGTCTATAGGTGGCTTCGCTTCCGCGGCGGCGGCCACCTGGGCCTGGTTGCGCCTGCGCGCTGAGGTGGGCCCTGCCCCTCTAGGATCCCGCTTTGCTGTTTAGCGTGGCTTCCTCTCGTTGCATCCTGAGTAGTCCAGGGTTCCCCGCCCCCACCCTTCCCTTTAATAACCTGTATTGCCATTGCTAGCGAGTACACCATTGTTCCCTTCCACTCTTCGTGCTCTTTCTTCTCAACCTTTTCTTTGCTTTTTAATCTTCCGAAAGGCCGCCTTTTATTCTTTAATCAGCCTTGATACAGAATCATTACCTGTCAGTCCCTTTCCTCACTGAATGGAGAAGAAATCACAGTCAGTACTATTACTTGAAAAATTAATTTTCACAGCCAACAAAAGCAAAACTAATAGATGAAGAATGCACCCTCCTTGTTAAAAACCATAAATTACTGTCAAGGTCAAAGACCGCCTCATTCCCCTACCCTTCTCTCCAGAGGTAGCCCTTGTTACAGATGCATATCCTGTTTGGAGTTCATCATTCTGAAATTTCCTATACACTTACTTCCTGTGTTGTACTGTTTTGGTGGGAAAACCTGAGACTGACAAGTCTTAAATAGTACAGTATAGTATAGTGTCATCCGGCGACTTCCTTTTTTTTGGTTAGCATCCGTGTCTTGGAGCTGTTTTGCATTTTTGTATGAGTCAAACTATATCCATTTTAAGTGCTTCATAAAATTGGATAGTATGGCTATCACAGAGTGAATATGGCTATTTCTCCATTGGTGTACACCCAGATTGCTTTCGACTTTACACTTTTAACTGCAACAAAAAACGACAATGAAGATCCTCGTGGCTTCTTGAGATTTGTCTGTTTCTCGAAGATAGATCATAAAGTATGTACAGTTTTTATTTTAATAGGTAAACCAAATGTTCAGGCCACTTCTGAAAGCACATCTTTAAGTGAAAAGATGACATACTGTGCTTCAAACTGGAGCGCCAGGTTTTTTGTTTGTTTGTTTGTTTATTCATTTGAGGTGGAGTCTCGCTCTGTTACCTAGGCTGGAGTACAGTGGTGCCATCTCTGCTGACTGCAACCTCCACTTCCTGGGCTCAAGTGATTCTTCTTCCTCAGCCTCCCAAGTAGCTGGGATTACAGGCACGCGCCACTACGCCCAGCCAATTTTTCTATTTATAGTAGAGAGGGGTTTCACCATTTTGGCCAGGTTAGTTTTGAACTTCTGACCTCAGGTGATCTGCCCGCCTTGGTCTCCCAAAGTGCTGGGCTTACAGGGATGAGCCACCATGCCTGGCCTGTTTGATTTTTTTTTTTGGTGTTGTTTTGTTTTTTAAAAAAACAACAACAACCATCTTGCTCTGTAACCCAGGCTGAAATGCAGTGGCAGGGTCACTGCTCACTTCAGCCTCTACCTCCCAGACTCAAACAGTCCTCCCACTTCAGCCTCCTGAGTACCTGGGACTACAGACAAGCAGATGCCACCACGCCTGGCTAATTTTTTATTTTTCTTAGAGACAATGTCTCACCATGTTGCCTAGGCTGGTCTGGAACACGTGATCTCTAGCAATCCTTCCACCTAGGCCTCCCAAAGTGCTGGGATTACAGGTATGAGCCACCAGGCCTGGCCTCAGTTCTTCATTATACTTAGCAGGTTGTATAGTCAGGCAATCAACCTTTCTATGCTTCAGTTTCCTCATCTATAAAATGGAAAGGCTAAATTAAATTACCTCTGAGGTCTCTTTCATTTATAAAGTTTACAAACAGGGCATTCACTTGTCAACAGAGAGAAATCCATTTTAATTGAACAAATAAATGAGTTTTCTTGCTCCTCAATGAATAAATATTGTTTTATCATTTATTTATTTAGCAATTACAGAATATCTGCTCTGTTTAAGAACTTGGAAAATGAAAACATGAGTGAAAGAGTCCCAGCCCTTAAAGAGCTCTCAAGTTATTGAGAAAGACAGGGGCGGTAAACAACTCTCCTACAAAAGAAAAGGTGACTGTGTTGTAATAGAAGCACAAGTGAAAGGTTATGCCCAACCAACACTGCACCATCTCACATTATTTAAACAAACCATGTGATTTTAATCTTTCTTACCTTTGAACACACTTCTACCTGCTATTCCCAGCTCCCTTATCTTTTTATGATAATCTCTTGCATCCTTCTAAACTCTGGGGGTATAATCACCTTTGTGAAATCTTTCCTGAATCCAATTTTATCTCTTCCCATTTGTTTTGCCAGGAACTCTTCCAGCTATGTAAATTCAACAGTGAATAAAACAAAGTTCTTTCTTTGTTTCTTTGAGAGTCAGATAATAAACATATGAATGTATGATATTTCATGATGATAAGAATTATGAAAAGAGTAAGCAATATAAAATGAAGGGATGGGGTGCAATTTTGTATGGAGTGGTCAGGGAAAGCTACTCTGATGAAGTGATATAAGAGACTTGAATGGAGACAGGAGGTAAGCCCCGTGGATTTCGGGCTGGCAGGCTATCAGACAGAGGAATAAGAAGTGCAAAGGCCCTGAGACAGAGGCATACTTGGCATGTTCAAGAAACTCAAAATGTAGCTCAAGTATAGTGAGTGAGAAAGAATGCAGATGAGTTCAGAGGTATTAGGGGCGTGAGTGGGACAGAGAAACTCATTCCTTCTAGACACCATGCCGCTTCTATGCCATGTGCCTATCACACTGTGTAGTAATTATTTGACTACATTTCTGTTTGCCTCAGGCTCTTCACTAGACCAAGTTCACCTCCAAACAGGGCATCCCATAGCCATCACTTCCATTCCTAGTACAATGCTTAACGCTGGGTAAATCTTTTTGGTCACTTTTGAAAGTAATAGAATGAAGTTTTACAGACTGTTTGTGAGTATTGTAAGGCAATCACTCACAGTCCTGTGTATTTATCTTTCTGTTTATTTAATTGGTTTCATGAGAAAACCAGTTGCCTTTTGTTAAGGGATCTTATTCTCTTTTCAGCTGTCTTTCAAGGCATTGCTTAAATATAACTGAAGAAATGATGAATACTTGATGAATATCTTTTGTGGTAGAGGTAGCATTTGAGCTAAGCTTTGAAAATGAAGATTTCCATGAGAAGAGAAGCATATAAATCACTAAAAACTACTCTGAAAGCACCTCTTCCTCCTTACTTCTAAGCTGAGTTTCTTGCCTGAATATGCTTTCTTAGTTAAAGGTGTCTTTCTCTCCCTACTTACCAAGGGAGACATCAAAGGTAGGTAGTTCGAAGATATTATATATTCCTCCTTCTATTTCTTATATTATGACCTTATCAATCTACAATGCGCCATATATTCTGTTTGTTTTCCATTTTATTGTTGTTTTGTGGTCTGTTGGTTTCTGGCAAAAAAAATTAAAAGGTAAGTTTTAATGTACTTATCTCTGAGAAGTACTGAGAGTGTTTAGTAGATGATGATGAATTAAATGATGACAAGAATTGGAGATCAAATAAAAATGTCTTGCTCACTATCCAGTATATATAGCGAGTACACATAAATGTGTTTGGCATTCATATGACGTTTATGCCCAACTGTGCTCTTTGCTGTCATGTACATTTCAATGTTCCTAAATTCTCAGTGTTCTTAAGTTTCCTCAGTAGTAAATTGATACATTAAAATAACATTTGTACCCATTTTGGGGAAGAATAACAAAGCTAAATTGAGGCTTCAAATGCCGAAGCATCTGGCCAGGCACGGTGGCTCACACCTGTAATCCCAGCACTTTGGAAGGCTGAGGCAGGTGGATCACCTGAGGTCAGGAGTTCGAGACCAACCTGATCAACATAGTGAAACACTGTTTCTACTAAAAACACAAAAATTAGCTGGGCATGGTGGCATGCACCTGTGATTCTAACTACTGAGGAGGCTGAGGCAGAAGAATCACTTGAACCCAGGGGGAGGAGGTTGCAGCGAACCAAGATCACGCAATTGCATTCCAGCCTGGGTGACACAGCAAGACTCGGTCTCAAAAAAAAAAAAAAAGAAAAAGAAAAGTCAAAGCATTTGACAAGTTATTGACAAGCAGGTAATGTGTTGTTTAGGCCTTCTCTTCTTTGAACAAGCAAAGTAATTGTACATGTGTAGAGCTTTCCTTCCTCTTTATGTACTTCCATGATAAATTGTAATTCCAGTGCTTTGGGAAGCCAAGGTCAGAATATGGTTTCAGTCCAGGAGTTCAAGCCAGCTTGGGCAACACAGCAAGACCCTGTCTCTATATAAAAAAAAAAAAAAAAAGAAAGAAAAAAATTAGCCATGTGTAGTTGTGTGCACCTGTAGTCCTAGCTACTCAAGAGGCTGAGGCAGGAGGATTGCTTGAAGTCAGAAGTTTGAGCCTGCAGTGAGCTATGATTGTGCCACTGCACTCCAGCCTGTGAGACACAGTGAGATTCTGTCTCTGAAAAAAAAAGTGTTCCCTCCCTGAATTGTAGAGGCCAAGTTACTTTCTTTAACCCTAACTTCATATTCTTCCAACTTTTTTAACTTCTCATTCCCCTACCACCTTGTTTTCTAGGAAATGTGTAGATAATTTCTAGAAGCTGTATTTTCCCCAATCCATTGACTCATTCTGCACTGCACCCCCAGCACTCCCTTGTCATGACTGCACTTTCTTTCTGCATAGGTCAAATCCTGTAGAGTCTTCTCATATTCCATCTCTTTTCCCTTTTCTGACACTTGCCACTGTTGGCCAGTCTATTCTTAAAACTTGCACCTCTCATTACTTCATTCACTGGCTTGACTTCTTCTGCCCATCAAGAAAAGTTGCTCAGAGTTCTCTCCATCACCAACATTGTCTTCTTTCTTTTTTGTGCTCTTAAGGCACTCTGAAGCACATCCATTTACTAATGATCCCAATTGCCTTATTTCTCTTCTGTATTCCGGAATCATACATCCAACAGCATGCTAGATGTTTCTGCCTGGATGTC